ATATGAGAAAATAATTAATATAAAAATATGCTATTTTTTTTTCATAAAATTCGAATTTAAAAAATTAAATCGTTAAAATAAAAATAGTTAATAGTTACTACATAGTGAAGTCAAAATTTTACTATACAAACCGGTATTAATACGTTAAGTAAAGTTTTTTTAGGAGGTCAAGCTACATGTATTCTGAAAGTTTTATATAAATTAACCAACTTTATTAACACAATTTTGCGTATTACGATTGAGCAAACAAAATTTTAAAAATTTTCGCTTAAACGTAATATGCAAAAACGTATTAATGAAAAATTATCTAATTAAGTAAAACTTTCAGAATATATGTATTTTTGATCTTCTGAACAACTTTATTTAATAAATAAATGTTAAATTGTATAGTAAATTATTGACCTTACTATATTGCAACTATTGACGAACCCGAAATGGGACAAATGTAGTCTTTAACTGTCACACACTATATCAATCATTTTTAAAACTTTTTTGATAGTGTTGTCAATGGAATGGTCTAGTGAGAATTACTGGAACTAGAAAGCTTACTGGACTAATTGGATGGAACTAGAAGAATTCCAACTACAGTAGAACCTATAAATTATTAATTACGATTATCAGTAAAATTTTAAGTTATACGTATAATATTTTATAGAATTTTAATTAAAAAATTATAAAAAAAATCCACATATAAGTAAGTTTTATATTCAAATCGAGACCTCTATCCGACATAGAACAATTGACAATGGCGTCCCCCAAAACACAATGTGTTACTTGACGTAAGGGCCATTAAACCAAATAAGTAAAAATGATGTACAGTATATAAAGCTCTGTGCATAACAAAAAAAAACTCCGAAAATTGCTTAAATTTTAATTCATAATCAGATAAAAGTATACTTAAGTAATATGACCGAAGAAAGAACGATCCTACTTGTAGGTAGAACTGGTAACGGTAGATCTACAATAGCTAATGTTATTAGTAACACTAGTAAATTTAAAGAGAGCGATTATGGAATTAGTGAGTCGGAGGGTGGGCAGATAGGGCACTTTCGATTAAAGGGAGAGGAAATGATTTATCATATAGTTGATACTATTGGTATTGGTAATAATCGTTTCACAGAAAAAGAGACTTTGAAAAGGTTAACTAACGCAGTTATTGGAGTTCAAAACGGATTGAACCAAATTTTCTTTGTAATTAGTGGTAAATTTACTAGAGAAGACGTAGAAGCATTTACTTTGCTCCGTATGATTTTTTTTGGTGAAGACATTGGTAAATACACCACTATTGTTCAAACCAAATTCCCATATTTTCAAGATCCAGAAAAACGTCGCAAAAACAAAGAAATTATGATGAATCAAAATGAAGATGTAGGCACTATTTTACGTTCTTGTCGTCGTCTTATCCATGTAAATAATTTAACTGAAAAAGAAGACTTTCGACTAAGAGCTCGCAATGATTGCCGAGCATTTTTACGTAATTATATCTGTAATTGTAAAGATATTTACAAACCAAGTAATTTAGGGGAAATGAATGAAAGAATTGAAAATTATCTAGCTGAAAGGAATAAAGGCAATGATAAACAATGGCAAATTAATCAGCTTATGAATGAAAACTCACAACTTCGCCAGCAATTAAACCAATTTACTGGTCAACAGAGACAATTTAATCCCTTTAATACAGGTTTTTTTTAATTAGCAAATCAAAACCTATACTCGAATCGATTCTTAATGCCATCTTATTATTGAAAGAAAAGAACTTAAGATTTTATTAGAATTTCAGAAATAGGCTTTTTAAAATATTCTTCCTTATGAACTACCATTTTACCATTAAAATTTCATACGTAAAACTGCAAATTTTAAAACTCATTCTATTATCTGATTATAGATGTTGTCCCTTCCAAGTAACCTAACACAATTTTCGAAAAAGATAATAAAAGTTAGATATACATTACTATTGATATGTAAATTATTAACCTTTACATAGTAATATTTCAAAATTGTATTATATCTTTTCTTTTTTAAACATACAGTAAAATAATCTTTAGTGAATGCGAATAAATGAATAACTTAACTCATATTATTGGTTCTATTTAGATTTTTCAACTGATATTTCTAGTAGAATTTAAAAATAACTAATTTACCAAACCATTATTTTAGCACAAATAGTAAAAATTATTCTATTATTTAAATACATAATCTTTTAAAAGTAAAAGATTTTAGCGAATCATCCATAGTGCGGAATAAATCCTATACCTAAAATATTTGTGAATCGTGAAATTTGTATCAGCAGATCGAGAACACCAATACTTATTTACTTAATGCACTTTCAAATCATTTGCTTTAATTTAGATTGTAAATATGGTGATAATTTATTAATCGCTCAGAGCAAATCATGAGCACAAATCCTTATACCTTTGAAATTATTTCATTATTCATTGGATTGAAGAATTATAAAAAATAAAATACTGTTAAGCTGTAAAGGAGTCATTTTATTATTGTAAATAATCAACCACAATCAAACTTACACGGCTAATTTGATTTTTTGAGAAAAGTGCAGAAAAGATTTTAACGTCATTCTTTATTATCAATGTATTAGCAAGATATTAATATTGAGTACATTACATATAAATACATTTTGAATTTTTAACATACAGTAATTGAAATCTTATACTGCTTATAATAACATGATATTACAATATCATTTCTCAATCTAAGAAGTACTAATTACTTTACAGCATATAATTCATTTTTTACTTTTTTCACCTTTTTCACTCCTTTTATTCTCAATTCAGCTCTTAACATACAGTTGCTCCCTTACAATCTCTGCAGGAAGGCGACTATTTAAGACCAATATATAATCATCTTTCTCTGAAAATGCCTTTTTACAGGAAATATTAGTTGATTGAATAGTGAGATAATCACGAGCTACTCTAGAAAGAGTTGAAAAATCATATTGGTAGCTTTTCTACCAAGCTAACGGATCAGTATTTTGATCAGATAGTTTCATTATGAGATACGTATCTAACTCTTTAATAGCAGAATCGATAGAGACAGTTGTCGCTGATTGTGGATAACATATATTCAAAAATAATTGACAAGTAGTATCTTCGAGCTTAATTAAGTGCTTCAAATTAAGAAAATTATATGCACTTTCGTTAAATACTTATGCCAAAAAATGTAAATTTAGTTTACTCGTATTTGCGCGTAATAACGCGCAGAAATGTAATTTCGAAATTTGGCCTAAATTAAGCCTAATTTGGGCCGTTATTCGAAATAATGCCCATGTGTGTTATTACGTGCAAATACGGGTATTATTTAAATATAGACCCATAAAAAATCCGAAATTAATGATCTATGAATGCTGCTAAGAGAAAACCTTAATCCGGAAAGTACAGGTTATTAAAATCATTAGTGATTCATCATGATACTGTAATATAACCTGTACTTTCCGGATTCGGGTTTTCCCTTGGCGACACTCATATGTTATCCTGATTATGTTTTGATTTATTAGTTGAGGGTAACCCTAACATATCATGCAAGATAATAATAAGATACATACTATAATAACTACGTATCTATATGTACATCATTGATTTAACCGATTTACGCTATTGCTCAACTAATCACATTACTGATTACATATTATCATTAGAAATCACGCTCTGATCTCTTTGAAGTACAACATGTCGACCACCGTCATGACATTAATTAACATGCAACTAACCTGGCACATATTCGAGAAGTGCTAGTTGCATCAATAGTTGTTAGGCGAAACCTAGAGGTTTCGCCATTGGTGGAAGGCAAAACTTAGTTACGACTTTCACCAAAAAAAATTTTAAAATGGCAAAATAGCGAAACTGGCGAAAGGTGGCGAAACTGTCAAAGGGTGATTTAATAACTGACGAAACCGGCCTGTACTAGCATAATGCAGGCCAAAATTTTATGCGCTGATTTTCTTAGGGTCACCATATGGGCTGAAATTTTTAGCTGGAATGCAAAATTAAGTGATACTCGTAAACAGCTTAGCTCAAATGATCCAAAATTGATATGGTTCAGGCTAGCCTCGGGGGTATTCTAGCTAATCAGTTCGGAACACTACTCATAAATTGGATATAAGTAGTGATGGGCCTGCGCGGGATTTTTAATATGATCCCCAATTCAGGCCAGCCGGCCCGCATTAACATAATTTTAAGAAACCCACAATGTAATCCTATCCGCGCATCACGCGCGTAACCCGCATCCCGCGCGGGATATTTTGGAAAACCGTGATTTGCCCATCACTAGATATAAGCAACTGATCAAGTCATCACTTTTAATCTCAGAATCACACTATATTTTATTTTTAATATCATTGTTTCAATTTAAATAATCTAGCTAGCTTTAAGATTTAGTTTGGCTTACATTAATGCTAAGAGAAGGACTCTGAAAGTTCTAAGGTAGACTATAAATGAATATAAAAAATGAGCAAGGTTGAGGAAAATTTTAGAAAAAATAAGCCGAAAGATATCAGTTTAGTCGATTAAATTTTTCTTATTTGCTGTAACTTACCTGGGATTTATAAATTATGGTAATGTTACAACCCTGCGTATAATGCGCATGAAATTTGAAAAATCGTAAATTTACCCACTTATAATGGTGCATTTTAATAAAGTCGTAAAAATAAATTTTTATTTAAAATAGAAATTTTAGAAATTTTAGTTTAATATTTAAAGATATAAATTTTTAAAGATATAAATTTAAATTTAAATAATTTAAATGAAATAAATAAATAAATTTGTTTCTTTTAGAATTGAAAAAAAGATTTTCATTGAATTGATTAAGTGGTTATCGAGAAGTCATTGCTCATTATTTCAAAGCTGCTAATAAAATAGGCTTGAATTTTTTAAAACTTTGAATGAAGCTATTTCGAATACTAGACCAAATTTGATAAAAATTTTTGAATTTAACTTTAAATAACCGGCGGTAGAGGCCTGCATTGGGTCCCGCAGCCCGGCCCGGCCCGCAAATTTTTGCGGGCCGGGCCGGGCCTGAAACAAAATTTTACAACTGCGGGCCAATGCGGGCCTAAAAATTTTTAAAAATTTATAATAAAT